TGGCCCGTGCACCCTGGGTGGGATGCATGGACATCATGTTGCGTCCTTCACACTAAGTTCCTCCTGGGGAATTCTCAAACCTAGGTGCATTCCCAGGCCAGTTCCAGAAAAAAACAGAGAAGTCTGGGGTGGGGGCAGTGAGGCAGATGTGGGTCAGGAGAGCATGTGTGTGAGGGGAGCCTGGGGCCTTCTAAAGTGTGTGCAGAGCTCCAGCTTGATGGTTGGGAGCCGGCGGGCCACCACAGCACCCAGGGGTGCGGGGACGGTTTGAAGGGCGCTTGCAGGCAGCAGGTTGTTGCTGTTTTTAGGAGAGACCATGTAAATTCGGACACGATGCCAGTTTTTATCTCCTGGCAACCCACCCGGCTTTGCCAGGAGCCCACTATGTGGGCAGCAGGGCTCGGCTTATGCCTGAACCAGTACAAGCCTTTTCCTCATCTGGGAACAGGCTTTTAAAAGAAAAGTTGCAAAAAATATTTTGAACCCTTGTACAAAGTGGGGCTCCCTGCTTGGATACGTAAGTTCTGGAATATCTGCTACGCCTGGGCTGCGGGAGGGAGAGAGCAGGACATTGGGAAGCAAGGAGCAGGGCACCCTGGAGCTCCTTCCTGGTCCCCCCGCCACTTACACCACCCCTGTTCGGCGACGGACCCCGGACCCCAGCGTGTTGTGTCCAGCGCGCCGCTGCGCTGGTCTTCGCTGGTGCTCACCCCCTGCCTGACCTCCTCGGGCAGGGCGCCCTGCATCCCCCTGCATCAGTGTCCCCCTCCAGACTGGTGGGCCGGCAGGGATTGGGGTGACAAGCTGAGTGTAGCACGGTAGCAGGAGTGCGAGCTAGCCCGAGTTTCCATTCAACGAATCGGTGAGTTTATGAATGAACTCAGTAATGAATGAGTTTAATTCATGGGAATTAACTTCACAAAAGTTTCTGCCGCGGACTCCAGGAGCTCCTCATTCAGGTGGGGAGGCTGCTCTGACCCCTGACCCCTGACCCCGGCCGTGTTCCTGCTCTGGGCAGGACATATGCCGAGGACCCTAAGGAGGCGGTCAAGCAGTGTGAGCTGCTCCTGGAGGAGCCAGAGCTGGACAGCAGCGTCCGCGTCGGGGACGTCTACAGCTTCCTGGTGCAGCACTACCTGCAGACGGAGGAGTTCCAGGCGGTGAGGCGGCGCGGGGGCGGGGCTTCCGGGAAGGGGCGGGGCTTCCGGGGAAGGGGGCGGGCTCCGCTTCGAGGCCGTCCCCGCCCTCTGAGTCGCAGGTGTTGCTCCTGTGTTTGATTTTTCAGCCTTTTTTATTTGGAATAGTTTCAAACTGAGAATTACAAGAATAAGAGAACCCACACATAACCCTTCGTCAGATTTGGCAGGTTTAAGCATTTTGCTACGTTTACTTACTCATTTTACGTGTGTGTTTTCAAATTTCTATTTTCTACCTAACATGGGTATTTTTCTGAGCGCTCTGAGAATCGCAGGCGCCCTGCCCTTCCCGCTTGGTTCGCAGACACTCGGGTAGATGCCCAGGGCTGGGATGGTGGGGTTGTGTGGTAAGTGTGTGTTTAACGTTTTAAGAATCTGCCAGACTTCTTCCTTTTTGTAGTGTCTTTTTCGAAACTGCCAGACTTCTTCCTTTTTGTAGTGACTTTTTCACGGTTGGTTTCAAGGTTATTCTAGCCTTATAAAATGCACTGGGGAGCATGCCCACCTCCCGTATTTTCCAGAAGAGTTTATGTAAGATTGCTGTGATTTCTTCCTTCCTTGATAGAATGCCTACCTGAACCCACCTGGCCTGGAGCTTTCTTTGCAGAAGGGTTTCGGTGATTCATTTTACCAGAGCACTTCTCAGACATTTTGGTGTCTGGACCCCTTTGCACTAGGAAAGTTATTGAGGACCCAAAGACCAGTGGTCTGTGTGGGGCGCATCTACCAGGATTTACTATTACCCAATAAAACTAATGTAAAAATATTCTGTCACATTTAAAACTCGATGGTCTGTCTCAGATCTTTTACACACGCATCGTTTTATGACATCATGTTGTTTGCGGAGTTAGAAGATGTTGACACGTTTCATTATACGTATCAGAACACCATATTTGCAGAAATCACCACCAGCCTCGTCAGAAAATATGGCATTGGGAAGACGTCCGGCTCGTGGTGGCCGATACGTAAGGTTTCTGAAATCCTTCCGTTTAAAAGCTCAGATTTTATCCTTGGCAAAACTATTGCCTGTTACTCTTTTCCTTGATGTGGTGGCCCCTTGGTTCCTTTTTGAGACAGTCTGCCACGAACCCGAGTCTGAGTAGCCACGCTTACCTGCAGTCACGTTTACAAATAAAGGCGGTATTCTATGCGCAAGCGGCCACTTTTGCTCACGACCTCCAAAGCTGTGCCTCGTCTCCGCGCACGTTCGGTACGACCTGTCTTTCACTTCCGCCATCCCAGTGGGTGCGTCGCGGTAGCTCATGGTGGTTTCAGTGCCCCTCTCTCTCTGACCACCGGTGTTGCGCAGCTGCTCATAGGTTCGTCTCCTCCTCCAAGTGCCCGAATCCTCCCCTGTCAGTTTGTTGGGGGTTTGTCTTCTCAACGTTGCTTGTGGCCCTTATGAATTCTGGGTACCTTTCCTTTACCAGCGTGTGACCACTAGTGCTTTCTCCCTGTCTGGGGGAAATTCCCTCCTGTCCCTCTCTCCTCTCCTTACGGAACTCCAATTATCTGTGTATACTATCCCCTGGTTCAACTGGTTGTCCTCTTTTTTTTCCAGAGTTTTCTCTGGTTCTCATTTTTGGTGGTGGCTTTTACCGTTGCTTCAAGTTTACCAGTCCTGTTCAGTACTCTTGATGTTGCTCCTGGGCCTGTATTACATCTGCTGTTATAATTTTCCCCACTAGTAGCTTCTGGATCACATCGAGTTAGCTCCCTTGTCTTTTCTCTCGAGTTTGGTCACATCTTGTTGTTCCTTACATCTAGCAGTTCCTGGACGTTATGGATAAACCACCATAGAGACTCTGGTTTTTTTAGGTTCCTTCCTTCCTTCCTTCCTTCCTTCCTTCCTTCCTTCCTTCCTTCCTTCCTTTCCTTCCATCCTTCCTTTCCTTCCTCCCTCCCTCCCTCCCTTCCTCCCTCCCTCCCTTCCTCCCTCTCTCCTTCCCTTCCTTCCTTCCAGCATTGCAGGCAGCAACAAGAGCCGCTATGCTCAGCACATCACCTTGGGCTGGGCTTGAAGTCAGCCCCTGTCCCCACCACATGCAGCATGTGCTAGCTAGGTTGACCAGAGAGCCGCGTTCATGCTCAGGGTGTGGGCTCCCCTCAGTGATTGTCTTCTGACGTCTCCTCACTTCTGGCGGCTGCAGTTGACCTCAGTTCTGGTTCTGGTTCTTCGAGTCAGTGAGGGTGGGTTTTCTATGTGACATTCAGCTTCCCACAGTGGCCCTTGTTTGGAGCCTGTGGGACTTAGCAACCTTAACTTAGAAGAAACAAACATGAGTGGTGAGGTGGACAGACCTAGGTCTCCTCCGGGCAGGGAAAGAAGGCCCCTGTCGCTGCTCCGATGTCTCCCGTGCTCCCTCGCACTCACCTCACCACCGCGTCGGAGCCCAACCCCAAGGCCCCTGACCCTGGTCAGTGTCCTCAGTGGCCAGGACATCCAGGAGCACTTCTGTCTTTGTCACCCTTCAGCTGGGTCTGGTGACCGTGCCTGCCTTCTGGAAACTGCTTCCTTGCCCGTGCTGACACCGGCTGTGCACACGGAGGGTGACGCCCCTGGGCCACGGTGCAGCCCTGTGGTCTCTGGCAGACCTCACCCCGGGGGGGCACGCCCTCAATTCCCCTCGCTCCCGAAGCTCAGAGCCCTGGCATTGGCCTTGGCCTGCCTTGTGCTTGTGACCCGTGAGCCCTGCATGGTGCCTGGGTCACACAGGCAGTGGACACATTCTCGGGAAATCTCTTCCTGTGCGGGTGTCCCCCCACCTCGCTTGAGAATGCCAGAGGGCTTGCATTCTGCCCATCCTCCGTCCTTCCAACACTCATGGCTCACCTTTCCACTTTCATCTTTCTCTCTTACTTTTTATATCTTGGTTCCGTCTGCTCAAAATAAAATTGCTCAGGAAATTTATCATCTTTAAGAAATGCTAAGATTAAGGGCACCTGAGTGACCCAACCTGTTGAGCATCTGACTTCAGCTCAGATCATGATCTCATGGTCTGTGACTTTGAGCCCCATGTCAGGCTCTCTGCTGTCAGTGCAGAGCCCGCTTCAGATCCTCTGTCCCTCTCTCTCTGCCCCTCCCCCCGCCCAAACCAAACATTAAAAAAAAAGAATACTAAGATCTGGAGCACCTGGTTGGCTCAGTCAGTTAAGCGTCTGGCCCTTGATTTTAGCTCAGGTCATGATCTCACAGTTCATGAGATCAAACTCAGTGTCGGGGTCTTTGTGGACAGTGTGGAGCCTGCTTGGGATTCTCTCTTTCTCCCCTTCCCCCGCTCACACACATGTGTGCTCTCTGTCTCTAAAAATACACTTTATTTATTTTTTAAATGTTTATTTGAGAGAGAGAGAGCAAGCAAGGGAGGGGCAGAGAGAGAGGGAGACACAGAATCCGAAACAGGCTCCAGGCGCTGTGATGTCAGCGCAGAGCCCGACATGGGGCTAGAACTCATGAGCCTAGAACTCATGAGCCTGATCATGACCTGATCCAAAGTCAGACACCCAACTGACTGAGCCACCCAGGTGCCCCTCAAAATACCCTTAAAAAAAAAAAAATTTAAGATCTGATCTTTCCCCTAAACAGTTTTAAAGCTCCTAGAAATTTTGATCACATCTGAGCTGATATGAAGTGTACCTTGGGAGTGGGCCTTAGAAGCCACATGGGACCCTGTTCCTCCCCTCATTCTTGTATGTGGCCCTCCCTGTGGGTGCAGCAGGTGTTAGCAGGTGCAGGCAGGCCTGGGCAGATGTGAGCAGGCATGGGCAGGTGAGGGCAGGTGTGGGGCAGGCGTTGGCACGTGTGGAAGGGGGGACAGGTGTAGGCAGATGTAAGCAGGCACAGCAGGCGAGTGGTGGGCCTGGGCACATGTGGACAGGTGTGGGTCCTCGAGCACAGGCCGCTCACGGGACTCTCCGGGGCAGCTGGCTGGACCTGTTCGGCCGGGAGTGCTGATCACAGCTGACAGCACTGACAGAAGCTTAAAGTCAGACACCTTGGAAAGGCCGTGCAGTCACAGACAACCACCCTGTTGGGAAGGTGTCCCTCACCACCTGGGGCGGGTGCCCAGGAAGCTCCGTGCCCCGGACTGAGGGGGTGGCTCCCCTGGTTCTCGCCGCGGACTAACCCGGTAACGGCTGTCCCCACCCAGGCGTACAGGTATCTGGAGGAGATGCGGAAGAAAGTGCCCTCCGCCAACATGTCCTACTACGTGAGCCAGCAGACCGTGGACGCCGTGCACCGGGGCCTGGGCCTCCCTGTGATGCGTGCCACGTCCGGGCGGGTCCACCACAACAGCGTCGACGACCGCAGAGAGGCAGACGAGGAGGTGCAGGAGGAGGAAGAGGATAGCGAGCCCTGACAGCCGCTGCTGCTCCCCCAGAACCTGCCAGGGTTCATGGCAAGAGCCTGACTTTCTCGTTGAAATGACAGCTGTGTCTGACACCCCAGGGCACCGGCTGTCCTGCTCAGAAGGGGCCTTGAGGTCCCTTTCCTGCCCAGGGACTTGGTTCCTCTTTTCCAGGACCGTCTCCCAAGCATAGTCTGTAAAGCCTAAAAACCCTGTGGAACTCGATGGACTGTAGATATTAGCGTGTTCACTGCGCCTCGTCCCCACACCCAGGCGAGTTCCAAGACAGCACGTCTCACGGCTCCCGGCAGGACACGCCATCCCTGACCACGGGGCCCAGCGTCCACTGGAACAGAGACATAGGGGTGGCCAGCACGTGTGTGCGGGGGGTGCAGTTCTCTGCACGAGGCAGCCTGGTGGCTCCGTCCACGTGGGCGTGTCCCATCACCAGCCCCCACCGTGAAGGGCTGGCCCCACGACATGTCCGTGCAGGGAGGGGGACCTTGGGGTCTCCCACCCCCAGCTCGTCATCAGCTGCCAGAACCATGTCCCCCTTCAGAGGGACATCGAGGCACCGCGGACCCTGCCTGAGCAGTCAGTGCCAAGAGAAATGGGTTTGAACACCTCTGGCTCCTTTTTATTCTTCCTCTTTGTTGCTTTTTAAAGTCTGCGTTCAGGTGAGGAACGGGCTTGGGGACAGGCTGAGAATCAGCCCATAGGGGCCCCAGCGGCTCCCTCCCTCCTCAGGACCCCCCCTCCTGCCATGTTCAGGTGGCCCTGTCTATGGACGCAGGGCCAGAGGCCCTCCCGCGGGCTGCTGGCGGGGCGGGCCTCCCTCTCCAGTGAGGACTAAGGAGAAGCGAGGGGGAGCAGTCGGTCTCTGAGTTTCTCCAGAAGCAGCAGGGCTTTCACAGCCAGCATCCTGCAGTCCTCGTCTGCGTCCCGGTCAGCCAGATCTGCCAAAGACGAAAATAGAGCAGGACATCGGCGGCGCCCACAGCCGGGCAGGCCAGCCCTCATTTCCTCTTAGGCAGTCATCCCATACAAGCCCCCACAGGGCCTGGTGGGGCCTGGCCGTGTGCGGGGGCAGCACCCCACTCTCCCTGGGGCTGGGCGCCCAGCCAGCGGCCGGCGACAGGGAGGCAGCGGGATGGAGCGGACACCATCGTCTCCGCGGGGAGGCCACCGGTCCCGGGAAGCGGGACGCCACACGCCTGTGGCACGGGGCCCGAGGACCCGGAGCCGACCGGACACGCGTGATCGGACAAAGCCCGAGGGTGCTCTGCAAACTAACTGATGCAACAAGAGGGGCCCCGCCTGAATCCCGGGCCCACGAGTGTGGCGCCACGTCAGAGTGTCTACTCCCGGCCTGGAGCCCCGGGTGGACACCGGTGGGTGGGCAACACAGGTGCCTACGGGCAGGAGGTCACGTGTGCTCCAACAGACTTTTCAAAGAGAACACTGTGGTGAGGGGTGGGGGGGAGGGTGCAGGGAGGAAAGCTTATCCAAGTTAGTTGGCGAGTCTGGTGAGGTAACGTGCCTCCTGCATGGCTCTTGTGACCTTACAGAAGATACAGAATTTTCCAGAACAAACACACCGTCTCCCACATCTGGGCACCTTCTCTTGGGTCCTCCTGCAGGACCTCCCCAAAGTGACTCAAGAACAGCTGAGTCCCCACCCCCCCACCAGGGACCATTTCGTGCACAGACGGGGGGGGATGTGACGGTCCTGGGGCCTCTGCACCGCCCCGTGCCCCGATGGCCACTGCACCAGCCTCCAACCACCCGCCTCGCCCATGCAGCTGGGGGCCTGGCACTCACCCGCCAGCCAGGATCGGGTTTCCAGCAGCTCGTCTGGCAGGTCTGCCAGGAGTCGCTCGGCCGGAACACTGAGGAGGACGGAGGAGACCGCGGACAGCAGGCCCCGGCGCACGTAGCTGCCAAGCCAGGCCGGGACGCTGAGCGCCGACGGAGCCCAGGCCAGGGAGACCCCGCTTCTCCGCGGTACAGCAGACCCACGGGCAAGCAACGCACGCTCCAGCCGCCCTGCCCCTTCGTGCTTGGGAAGCACCAGGCCGCCCCGCCTCTCGGCCACGCCCACGGGAGTCGCCCCCCCACCTCCTGCTGTCCGGGGAGCCCCGCCTCCACGTCCACGTGGGACCACTTTCCTCAGCCACACGGCCACTCACGCGTCACTGTGGAAGCGAAGGGTCCACACGAACTCCAGGAGGGCCTTGCCCATGGTCACAGCCACCTGAAACAGCAGAGGCCAGTGGGCAGGGGTCCTGGCACCCAAAGGTGGGTCCCAACAACCCAGCCCCAGGGCCAAGGGGAGGCCCACCGGGAGGACAGCCACCAGCTCCGCCTCCCACTCACCGTGGTGTTCACAGCCAGGTACATCAGGGCCCCCAAGGTGTGGGCCAATCTCCCGAGAACCAGCTGGTCTTCTCCCAAAAGGTCAAAGGTCACCAGCGGTCTACAAGAGCATCAGGTGTGTGTGTGCGGGACGCGTGGTCAGGGCTCATTCTCCAACCCCTGGGCCACCAAGGGACAGCCAGCGCCCTGGAGGCGCCCCCTCACCGCACGTCCCCGTGTGGCTCCCACAGCCACGAGGAGAAGGCGTCAGACAGACACAGAGCGCGTGGAGCATTGAGGCTCCACGGCGAGGCTCCGGCCCCGCACACCGGGAACCCGCCAGCAACCCGCCCTCCGTGACAGACACCGCAGATCCTGACGCCCTCGCTTTGCCATTTAAGCTACGAAGGACAGAAAGCCAGGTGGTGACCTTGCTGCTGCCCAAACCCCAGCACAGACCCCATCGTGGGAAACCTCTGGTACTCGAGGGCGTCCAGGCCTCCCGCTCACCTGTCAAAGTGCTGAATGAGTGGGAAGAAGAAGTAGCCAGCCACCGAGCTGAACTGGTTGGCGCCAGCGTCCCGTCCCCGCCTGGCAGAGCCCTGCAAACATGGTGCGCACAGGTGCCACATCCCTTTGCTGTCCCATACGCACCCCCGTCACAGCCCCGGCCCACGCGGACACGGCACATACAGGCCGTTTCTTGCTGACGCAGAATTCCGGGGCTTTTTTCGCACCCGCATATTAAAGCCATGAGGCTCTGATGCCCTAAGGCACGTGTCCCGACACGCAATTTGTAACCAACGCCCTCCCTCCACACAACAGCAGTGTCGGTGCCGCCCCGTCCCCCACCAGGACCTGAGCCCGGGCTGGCTGACCTGCGAGAACCGCCGGGTCTTGTTTCTGATCCGCTCCTCCACAACCGCGCGCCAGGCGGGAGCCACGACGCTGCCGGGCGGGGGAGCGGGGCCCCGGGGGTCGCACTGGGGGGCCTTGGGCGCGCGGCCAGGCCGAGACAGCTCCTGGGCGGCCAGAGTCAGGACCTAGAGGAGCGGGAGACCCAGGGCAGCGGTCCTTGTTCTAGGGAGGGGCGGCATCTTCTCAAACCCGAGGTAAACTGAGTGCCCGTCGGCGCCATCAGCCGTCACCGGCTGCGCCAGGGAACATTCTGGGGACCGCACGGGAAGTCAGTTCCGGCTACCCCAGGATCGCTTCACTTTGTGGGGGACAGAAGGGAAAGGTGGCCCCGCTCCTGCGCCCGGAGCTCCTAGGGTTCCAGAGCCTCACCAACCTGCTGCCCAGCCGCCTGCACACAGATGGGCCCCGGAACAGGCCTGTGCCGTCACATGCCTGGAGCCCTGGAACAGGCGGGGCCACGGACAGCAGCCTGGTGGCTGCAGGCGCCCGGCCGGGCAGTGCGTGCTAAGGGCTGTTCCGCTGAGGGTGGCACAGGACACTGAACCGTCAACGTACCAGATGCCCCTGAACTGCAAGCACGGAGGTGGTGACTGTTCAGCGCCATCTCATGAGACACACAGCGTCACGCTTGCCATCTTGACAGCCGTGCGCGCGCAGCTCAGCGGCAGCGGGTGCATGCACATCGTATGGCCGTCGCCACCATCGTTCCAAGACCCCGTCTTCCCAGACGCAGCCCTTTCCCCTGCGACGTGCCCTCCCCGCCGTCTACTTCAGTCTCTCTGATTCTGACGGCCCAGGGACCTCACACACGTGGAATCCTACAGGGTCCTCTGGTTCATCCACGTTGTGGCAGGTTACCACGTCCCTCCTCTGCGAGGCCCAAGTAACATCCCGACGTGTGCACAGACCACATTTTGTTTGTCTTAAGATGGGGAACTGTACCGCATGGGAATTCTGTCTCAGTAAAGCTTCTGTCTCAGATGAAGGACACGGCCCCTACTGAATCCTGTGCGCCGCCCAGAAAACACCAGGCAGCTGCCAGTCCCAGCCCCTGGGTCCAGCCACGGGGGACTTGGGGAGGCCTCTGGTCCTGACCGTGGAGCTTTCGGCAGGGCGCTGTGCCAGGCCTGGCCCTCGTGAGGGCAGCTTGGGCGTGACAGGTGGGACGGAGGGCCCCAGGGCACTTACATCCAGAATGTCCATGCGCTGTCGGAGGCTGAAGTTGAGGGCGTAGAATTGCGAGGTCAGATATTCTGCTACCTGAGCCAGGCACACGAGAGGCCGCTGTGGACGCCACCCAGAGGCAGGGCCCCAACACAGACACTGACTGGGCGGCGGGACGGGGACTCACCGGGGCCGGGTCTGTGACCACGACGGCCACAAGGGCTCTCTGGCGCAGCCCCTCAAAGCCCTCCACGCTCGTCTTCTCCTCCAGGTGCAGCAGCACCTTGGCCAGCTCCACACTCACCTGTGCGCAGGGGTCGGTGTGCCTCAGGCCCTGCGGCCCTGGCCCCCACAGCCCTCCACCTCCCCATCCCTGCCACGGGCCTCCTAGGCAGACACACACCCCTCCCCGACATCCCTGCCCCACTCACCTCGCGTGCAGCAGCCGGGTTCCTGATGACCAACGCCTCGAGGGCCCGCAGGGCCGCCTCCCAGCGCTCCCAATCCTCGGACGAGGTCAGGGCTGCACAGAACACACACGGGCCCGCACTGGTCCCCAGCCCTGACCTTGCAGAGGCAGAGCCGGCAGCCAGGGTCTGGACGCTGGGCAGAGGCAGCCGAGTCCTGGGACACGCAGGGTTCCCACGGCTCAGCCACCCCAGGGTAGGTGCTTGGAGGGGCCTCCCGCCAGGGAAGAGACCCACCTTCCACGCAGTCCCGAACGTAGGTGGGTGCCTTGCTCTTCTTTAGCTCTTGGTCCCCCGACATGTCATAGGGGACAAGCTCATCGTCACTGGGGAAGCAACAGAGACCGGTGGGGCCTGCCCGTCACCCGGGAGCAGACAGGCCGTGCTCCTGAGTCCCGGGAATTCACCCCAAGTCCTTGCACCTCAGGAACAGCAGACTTTCCTATGGGAGGGCACTCGGAGAGAGGGCGGCCGCGGGGCCGACCCGTGGCCTCCAGACAGCGTGGGCCGTCCACTCCCACGCTCATGCGCGGCTCTGAGGCCAGCGCGGGACTGCTCCCCCACCTCTGTAGTTTCTACCCGAGGCCTCCCCCTACCTGTCCAGGTCAGAGCCTGAGCCTTCCGGCAGGGCCTGGGGGACGCCACCGTCCACGCTCCCTCTGCCGGGGGTCTCTGCAGCCTCTGGAGTGACGACAGGGCTGTGGGGAGCAAAGAAGGAACCCGTCGGGGAGGCCCCACACAAGCTTCTGGCCCCGGAACCCACCTTCCCCAGGGAAATGCTCTCCCGGCCCCGACCCTGCGCTTCTCGGCTGCTGTCTCAGCAACGAGTCCAAGACGACAAGGTAAGGGAGCAGCAGGAACCGGGCCTGCCCAGCTTGGGGTGGAGACCAGGGGCAGGAAGCCCTCACCTCGCCTCCAAAGGGCTGTCGGCCGCAGGCCAGGGGGCTGCCAGGGCCAGCATCTCACGGCTCAGCTCGTCTTCCTCATACTGCAACGCACACGGGCTGGAGCGAGTCACGGGGAGCGCCCGCCACCACCCTCCTCTTGCCCCACTTGCCAAGTGTCCACGTGGCAGTGGGCGGTGCTGGGTGCACGGGCTCAGGAGCCCGCCCTCCTGAGGGGCTGCTCTCCCCCCCACCCCCACCCAGGAGGACATCCCAGGGGCTCAGCAACAGAGGGGAGGGGATGCCAGAGAGATTGCTTCCAAACACCTCCGGAATCCACCTGGGACATCTGTTCAGGCACTGCTGAGGGATCAACACGCAGAAGGTTCGTGGGCCTGGACCCCAGAAGGCAAGGGGATACCAGGGAGGGAAACACAGGGCGCGGCCCTTGCTCACCTGGAACTTCAGGGGTGGCCCCTCAGGGTGGAGCCGGGCACTGGCCACCTCGGCCACGATCATGCCCAGACGGCGCACAACGGGCAGGCTGCTGTCCAGGCGACTCTTCACCCCCGCCATCAGGCTAGTCAGCAGCTCTGGAAGCACCAAGCCCACACTGAGCACTGGGGGGCCAGTAGGGACAGGCAGGGACAGGAGGGGACAGCTCTGCACAGTGAGCACAGGGGGCTGGCGGGGACGGGCAGGGACGGGGTGGGGACAGTGTCCGCGTGGCCCACTCACCGTCTCGGCTGTCCTGGAGCTCCGCCTCCCCCAGGAGCGCCAAGCAGATGAGGACGGCCTTGCTAACGTAGCGCTGCTGCGCCAGAGGTGCGTGCCGGACGGCACTGCAGCTGCCCCACGTCTCCAGGAGCCCCTTCAGTGCCTGGCAGGTGGCGCGGCCCAGTTACACAGCCGCAGCGACCTCCCCACCACAGCGCGGGAACGCACGGGCCTCGGTGCCCCCGTGCTTGCCAGCGTCCTCTGTTCCAGGCAGGAACGTTCTCTCTCTCCCACCAAAAGGTGGTCCCAGAACACCCCAGACAGAGGACCAGACCGCGCTTACCTGTACGAGGAGCGGGCGCCGTTGGCTGTCCATGGCCAGGTACCCCAGCAGGCTCTGCAGCATGGGCGTCTGGGACAGAAGCCAGGCATCCTGTCACTGTCTGTCGGCAGACGCCAGCTGCCCACCTGCCGGGCTAAGACCCGTCTGCCCAGGCTCCCAGAGCACAAACGGCTCTGGGCTGAGGGTCAGCGGGGTATCTCGGACAACCGAGCTCAGCTGCACCTGCTATGGTCACTTCCCCTGGGCCCCCAGGGTGGCCCTCGGCCCACGCCCTCACCGAGTACTGGTACTGTAGGAACAGAAGTTTCCGGGTCATCACGAACTGGGCCTTCTTATTTTTCATCACCAGGTTCCCCAGCAGCCGTGAGAGGACTTCAGGCCTGTGAGGCACAGTGGGGGGGGAGAGGGAAAAGCATGAACCCCAGATCTCAACAGGTCGGAGCTGCACCCCTCCCCAGCTCTGCGCTAACCACTGGGAGCCCGGGGCCTGCGCTTTAGCTCGGACTCCGTCCTGATTCGCTCTCCTCCCGGTAACGTGGAAACCTGGGACAGCCCAGCGCCTCCGTGCAAGAGGATGTCCTTTCCCCGCTCTGCCCAAGAGGAGCAGGGGTGGCCAGGCTTATCTGGGAAGGGCCAGAGAACAAAAGCTCTATGGGCCATCGGTCTCCGCAGACCTCCTGCAGCCAGAAGCAGCCAGGGGCGTGTGCGTGAGCGAGCGCGGCTGTGGACCCACAAAACGGTTGTAATAACGCACGGTGGGCTGAGTTTGGCCCAAAGGCCGCAGTTTGCAGACGACTGGTGTACAGTGGGATTCCCCCCCCCCC